CGTTTCCCAGAATACAACAGTAAAACCAGTAGCTTCCGAGCACCGCAGAAACCACTCCGACGAACTGAACTAGTGCCTGTACTACACCACCACCAAGAGAGAAATGCAGAAAAGACAGAACTCTATGCAAATGAATTTCTCGTGTATTTTAAATTTGAAAGCTTTTGCTTTGGTGTATTGAAATGAAGAAAATGAGCCACTATTTATAGGCTAGAGTACTATTAATAGTAATGACCTTTGGAGCTTCTCATCTTTTTTCTATGTGGGACAATTCATTTTTCCCACATAAACTTTCTTTTGAGTGGCACACTTTGAGCCTCAATTTCTCATTCACCCGAGCATCATCTTTGACAAGTAAGTATATGATTTCGATATACTCACGAAGGAGAACACAAATCAGTTTTCATCTTCCAAATTGAACAATCGGGTCCCACTCAAAACTCGTGCCAAAGTTGGCCCATAACTTCTCATCTTTTTTCTATGTGGGACAATTCATTTTTCCCACATAAACTTTCTTTTGAGTGGCACACTTTGAGCCTCAATTTCTCATTCACCCGAGCATCATCTTTGACAAGTAAGTATATGATTTCGATATACTCACGAAGGAGAACACAAATCAGTTTTCATCTTCCAAATTGAACAATCGGGTCCCACTCAAAACTCGTGCCAAAGTCGGCCCATAACTCAATTTTTTTTCCAACAATTTGTTGCACTCTCATCCTACGACCCGTCAAGAAGGGGTGGATTCAAAAATCTAGGTGAGCACGAATGGCCATAAGGGCTCGTTGGGTGCTGGTTCCACCCAAGCCATCAACACTATAGCACCCATGTTGTAATAAAAGATATATACTTTAACTTTAAATGGTCATGTGAATAGCATCAAAAGTTACGAGATAGGTTTCGATGAACAATAAGTAATTTTATTCAATCTAAATCTTTAAATCAAAGTTAAAATCATTCGTTAAAATGTTATGTATTAAAGGGTTTTTTTTCTTCTTCTAATAATTCTACCTTTTTTGCGTGAGATCTCATAAGTGCATCATTTATTGGCTAAAATAACATTTTTCGTTAGCTTAGGACATGAGTACTATAAATTTAAAAAGTTGAGACATGATGCAACAAATAGTTGATTGAAGACATAAATATCACAATTAGAAAAGGTTGGGACCCTCGAGAAATTTATCCAAAAAGACTAACTTGATTGTCTAGTTATTTGCCAACTAAACCGTTATGTCAGTTTTCCATCAATAAAACTGATGGACTCGTAGTAAAATGATGGCATTGTATCATATGATTTAAGTTCAATGACTATATTGAAATTTTAATTTATGTTTAATACCCAATTTAAATAAAATATAATAATGAATGTTAACCAGTGCTCTAAAAAACTTGCAACTCGAGCAAAACGCTTCGCTTCGCGCTGATACGCATTTTTTCCCCCAATTTCTAAACCAACTGTATTTGACGTGCTTTATTAGTTTTTTTTTTTTTTTATATTTTTTAAAAAGTCTTTTATTTGACTTTAACTTATTATTTTATATAAAAAAAACTTTCATTTGACTCTAATTTCAAAAATTTTAAAAGATTTTATCTGTACAAAAGTTAAAAATGATTTTATCTAAATAGTTAAATAAGATTTAAGTTTTGGTGTTATCAATATTATGTAACTTTGATCTTGAGACTTATATTATTAGAAACTCCAAAAGCATGTATGAAATTCTAATAAATCTATTAAGTAGAACTTGTCTAGTTGAAAATTGAAACTATGAAAATTATTCTAATTTTTACATATCGAAAATTTGAAAATTGTATAATTGACTAATAGTAGGAGTTATTAAGTAAATATTGTATTTTATAATTTTAGATGTGTATTATTTTAATTATTAAATAATTTTTAAAATGATTATAAATTTAAAATAATTTTATAAATAAGAAAACGTTTTTTTACGCCTAAACCTCGTCTAAACTACTTAAACTCGTAATGCTTGAAACTTCGATTCCACGCCTTACCCTTTTTAAAACATTGATGTTAACCACACATCTGCCCTTATGAATGGAAATTGAGAGCTGTCTCCATTTTTGTCTCTTACTTTGTTCAATAACCTCTAATTATCTCAGAAATAAATACAATAAATTTGGCCAAATTTTCTTGACCTCTTGGCAGTGAGGCTTGCACCAAAACCCTTAAAGAAACAAACTCATTACTCATTCGATTAAATCTAACTCAATTTTGAATTTAACATAGACAATACATATATCATTAACATTAAACAATCTTTATTACTAATATTCATTCCTCATTCGATCTTTATACTTAATATGGAGAATATTTATCAGCATTATCAGATCCTACAATCTGGATATAGTTTGATTTCGATAAAAAGTCAAATGAAGTAAACGAATGTGGAGAAAGCACGATGTCCTTTTTCCCACCAGCCTCCTCCATTGAAGTTTTAACCGGCGTCACCTGCATATAACCAAGAAGACGGAACTTCAGGATTTATGGGGCGCGAGGAAAAAAAAAAAACCAACGAATTGCTTTTGACTTTTGAGGAAGAAAGAACATATTTTTGGATATTCGCATGATGAAAAACTTAAATAAATTGTGATTTTACACAAGTTTACGCGCTCTAAGACAAGCTTCTTAGTTAGCGCAATACACAGATGCAACAAAGGGCAAAAGAGAGAGAGACCAGGAGATGGACTGTTTAGTGATTGCTTGGCATAGCTTATAAGCTGATTAAACTCTATTTTTATCAACACATTCTATAGTCTGTAGGACCTAAAGATTAATCTAATAAAAGCTTTGCCAAACATATTAAGATACCTTTATGATGAATTAATTGTATATATGTTAGCAAGGTGGTTCAAATATACCTTCTTGGGTGCCTGGAAGGAATTTTCATCCTTCAGATTACTAGATGTTAATTCAGTCTTTGTCAATCCAAGGGATGGGACCGAGTTCAGCTCCAGTCCATCAATAAATATTTTGAGAGTCACGTTGTTGCTTCCGAAATTCACAACCTGGAGAACACATTTTCCGAGTTTATAAAGAGAGAAATTTGAGAATTATGCAGAGACTGGTTAAAGATTACAATGGATGAAAATGAGTATGAGAAATTTTTACTAATTCTACTTTCACAAGATGACCTCTAATTGGAAAGTACACAAACCTTTATTCTAATGTATTTCTTGCTATCCTCTGAATTTTTCCAAACGATAGCGGAAGCAATTAGAGAACTTGAAGAGTTAGCTTGAAGAGTTGAACTTAGAAGAGTTGCACCATTCGACTCCCTGAAAAAATGCTGCATCCAATAGCTAGGAGTTCCATACATCTGCGCTGAGTCGAAGACAATTGCGTCTGGGCTCCACCTGAATCCGAGAAAATTTTCTCTTAGAAATTCATAAAAATGCAGTTGGAAATGAAAAAGATGGTATTGAGAAGGAAGAAATTAAACATACGTTCTGTCATTGTTATTAACAAATAAAGGTGCGTAACTTGCCATTTCAATGGCATCACTGCATTGGAGCAAACATAAATCTTCGTTAGAATTAAAATATCATAGCAGAAGCAAAAATTTCCCACGAGTAAACTGAGTAGGGAACATAAGCATTTTCACAAAGAAACATTTATTGCAAATTTTGAAGCATGAAAGTTTCTTGAAATTGGTTATATTACCAGTTTCTTTCAAGGCCAATAACGAATCCAGCTTCTGCAAGAGCTGCTAAAAGACTGCCTTTGCCAGCATCATCTCCATTCACAGCATATTCACTGACAAAAGCCTATCCACCAAATTACGTCAACCAAAGTATCCACTTGTACATAACCAATATATTAACCAAGTGAACCATTTCAAACCTTCGGACCATTGCGCGAGACTTGGTCGAACTTTCTTGCCGAGGAAAACATATTATTTGCACCAGTATAAATCTAGGAATGAAACCATGCATGGGTGAGTAGTTTCCGCATTATCAAATAATGAAATTTATTGTAAATGGATGAAAGACCAATGAAGTTCTTACATGATAATCATACATATCAGCAGGGTGATCCAATGGTTTAGAAGAACCATCACAGTTTGAGATTATTTTGATGTCCGGATATGCATTTTTTATAGCATTGTAGAACTTGAGGTAGTTCCCTGAATAATAAAAAAATAGGAAAACATATCGACAAAATAACTAGAGTTTTGATAGTAAGATGGTTGAGCTAGATGATGCCAATATGTGGTGTAAATTTAATCAACCAATTGTCTAAGAATTTTAAGTTAGATCATATTGGTTAAAAATAAAAATAAAAAATCATCAGTTGAAGGCAAACAAAAGATCTAAAGTTGAGTGAACATGTGATTTGTGTTTCAGCGTGTGAAAAATAATTTATATATCCAGCTCAGAAAACCTTTAGCATTAATCCTCATCAGGATGGCATTGAAACTTCTTTATCTGTGGTTGAGAAAGGAAATAACCTTTTTGCGTGAAATATAACATCGAGAATGTTTTGTTTCATAATTACATGCTGGTTAATTTTGACCATTATAGGCTAGAAAAGAAAAGGAAAAAAGAAACGATTAGAAATGTAAAGCACAGTTACCAATATAATTTTTCTTCCCGCAATCCTCATTCCCAACTGCAACATATTTCAAATCAAAAGGTTCTGGGTGTCCCATTGAAGCTCGAAGAGAACCCCATTTTGATTGAGGATCGCCTCTAGCAAACTCAATACCATCGAGAATTTCCTGCAGTTGATTTTCAAGAAGTGAAATACATTACAACATAGACTATTTTTTATGATACCACTCACTGTGAAGCTATTTCAAAGCTACAAATCAGGCATGAAGTCTTAAGAATTAGATGGTCATGAACATATAAACCGAAACTGAGCGACCTACTTGTACAAAAGGTAAGACGCTGGAAGTGTCAACTTGATCGTTGTGACTGACCCCTGAGAATTATTGGACACGAAGAAAACAGAATAAGGGAAAAAGTAGCTAAGCTTAAGAAAAAGTTATGTGTAGTCTCCAAACACATTCGGATAACTTACTACTTTTCTTATTTTTAGGGAAAAAAAGATACTTTGTTTTAAGAAACTCTTAACTTACTATCAAAATAAGCAACTTACTTATTTTCAACTTTGACCATTAAAAAACATTTATTTTTAAACTTACTTATATTTAACATTATAACCTTAGCTAAACATGCTTTATTTATCACCATTACATATATAGTCTAAAGAGTACCGTTGTTGAAAACCCATACTGGTGCTGCATCCAAGTCCTCAGCAAGCTGCAGAAAAGGTGAAATTGAAAGAGTAAAATAATGAAGAAGATGATAATTGAAGAGTTTTTAGAAAAAGAAAAAATAGATCCAACATAATTTTACCTGGAGAAACTCAAAATGACCAAGACCATCATCGGTCCAGTAATGCCAAACATCACCAAAATGCCCAGGCCTCTCTTCCCATGGTCCAACAGTTTCTTTCCAACGAAATGCATTTCTTAACCATTCACCTTCGACAAAACAACCACCTACAACACGGATAGCAAGAAAGTGATACTGCTACACAACAATTATAAATTACAAGGCCCTAACGAACATGAGGTATATAGATATGAAGAATCCCAAAGAAGACTATAACTATTATCTCGTATAAAAGAATAACAAAAAATTGAAAGAAGAAAATTGGAAAAGAAATGAAATATTAAGACTACCTGGAAATCTGATAAATGCCGGTCTCAAATCTTTCGTCATTTCAAAAAGATCATTGCGAAAACCGTGTCCCTAAGCCAAGAGATAGTAATAAGGAGCTTATATTATATAAGAGATATCAATCTCACGGTGGCAATATAGAAGGTATAGTGAATAACAACAAATGCTCAATCTTTATATTTTGAGATTTTCTTTTTATTTTTTGGCAGAGTAACAGGGAACTTGGTCGAATCTAAAACATTTTTTCATTCTATTGTCATTGGGAGCATCAAGGTAGTTGCACCCTATTATTCAGGAAGCTAGAGAGCAATCCTAAAGTACTTCACACTCTCTTAAGTGCATGGGTGGATCTATAGTGGGGGCAGTGGGGTCCGCTGCCCTATACTAAATCTGAAATCCAAGATTTTACACAAGATTTCCAAAAAAAAAGTGTTATAATTTTCAATTTTGCCCCGACAATTAAAATTTTGTGAAATTTGCCCCCACAACTCTACTCTCTTGGCTCCACCCCTGCTTAAGTGATTAAAAGTTAACGTCTGAGTAAAAGCTCACCTTGTAAGTATCTGTAGGCATCAATGATACTTGATCAAACCAAATAACACCTTTCTTGGTCGTGGTGAGCTGAAGTCTTGATTTTGCATCAGCTCCTTGTGCATGCAACAATACCTCCATTTTTGTCCAGTTCAAAACATGAGAATCTCTGCAACGACATTTACTCTTATACATTCAAGAAGTAACCTAGGTCAAAAAACATTTAGTGCATGTTTGGTGGTACGCAGTATTAAATTGTACTAATAGTATAATAGACAACATTTCAATTTCCTTTTCTTTTTTAATATTGGGTACCACTATCTAGTATACGTTAGCAAACACGCTACCAAGGGTCAGTAATGAATCACCAATACTGACTTAAAGTTAGCAGTAGCCAATGTCTGCAATCCATTTGAACCCGTCAAGGACACAGACAAATCAATTGATCCTTCTGAACGAACATAGAGCACCAATTTATAGGTTTTCCCTTTTTCAATATTCTGCAAGAGAAAACAGATTCAGGTTCCAGTTGGCATACTAATAAGAAATTAGCAGTATAAAATCCACTGAAGACTGGTCAAATTAATGGAGTGATATTCAATAGCGTGTTTAATCAGAAAAACTTATAAATCAAACTAACTTCATGACTAGTTAGAAAAACTCAGCTTGTGACCAAACATAAGGACTGGGCTAACAGTATCAGACAGACAACCAAATGGAGGTCCCGCTGGGTATGATCAGATGATTGCATACATATCAAAAGACACACAAGTAATGGATCAAAATTTCTCACTTCTTCAAGGAAATTCGATCATGAGTTTAGTGAATCGGTAAGTTGGGGCCCATGTAGGCCAAAAACATATTGGCATGTTCGGCAAGGTAGATTGGAAGCAATAGTTTCAAAGAATAATACAAGTTAAAAATTGGTTCAAAGTTTGTCTTGTGCACCTAATATATCCTGTACGATTAGGAAAGTAAAACTTCTATTTCTTTAATCCTTTTAAAAGTGGAAAATTACCAAATTCATGGGTTCATCAAAATGAATGTGACCTATGAAAATAATGAAGACCACCAAGTTCTAAAACATCACTCCAAGATGCCATACATTTGAAACTTCAAGCATTTGTTGTTTTTAATACAATAATTTTATGAAGTAAAAATGAAAAGATGATTTTACAAATAGGAAACAAAAAAAAAAAAAAAAGACTGCATAACATCCAGTTATGCATAACAAGTTGAGGTCCTACTCTTTTAGAGCTTATGCTACAAGAAGATTTGAGGTGCTACTTGAAACCATCATAATTTAATTTGAATGTAAAATATTGAGAAAAAAAATAAGATTTTGACTTTTATTTGCTTAAGTAGATAAGATGAATAACATTAAGGTTTTTAAGCTATGGAAGACAAAAAAACAGATCTTACAAGAATCCTTGGTCAAAAAACAGAATTATGCATAATACTGATCCATCTGGCTCTCGGGGGAAGTAGAAAGTATAATTTAAATATAATGCATTTTGATCATTCACAAAAGACACCTTCCTTTCCTTTTGAAATTTTTAAAAGGTGTTGACTCTTACCATGCCCCAGAAACCAGGGTTATATATACCAACTCCTCCAGCTGGACAGATACTTGTGCCTTCATTATCACAGAGCACCTCCATTCGCAGAGCAATTTTATTTCGAGGAAAGCACGATGCACGTTCTGTTGATACAATTAAAGATGATTCATCCCCGATAATAGACCAGGGATCGATGTTTGAAGGTGTATTGGGACCCCCAGCTTCAAAACCTGAAATTAAAATTGCACGAGACTTCTAATTGTCGGTATCCATAACAAAAGCAAGTGACATAATCTGTTTCAAACTATCTAATGGACAGGTTTTTCGTCTCAAAAAATCAAGAATTTCAAAAAATGCCACTGATATTTAACTGATCATGTCCCGCCCTGCAAAATGTAGGATGAGAGGAAACAAAGCAAAAGAAACATTAACTGTTTTTTATCTGTGAATTAACACTAGAAGGCTAGTAAGTATTGTACAGTGGCATTTTGCAAATACTATACAAAAGATCATTTGCAGGTAAGAAGAGGAGGAATACATCCTAAAATGCCTATTGACCACTTCAAGCTTTGAAGCAATTGCACATACGAAAGTTCAATTTACAGATAAGATTCTTGCAAAATCCGGGTGCTTCTACATTGAAATAGGGGAAAAGGAAAAAGAAAAGAAAAAGAAACATGAGGGAGCTGCTGGAAAATGACTAAGAACACAAAAAGGGAGAACCAGATTAAAAATTACTTCAAAAGAAAGAGAAACTGCAAAATTTCTCTGATTTTGTCAACCATCTAATGGGGCAGAGGAATGCGTTTTCCACTTGAACATAGGATGCTAAGTAAACAATTACCATAAAACACATGGGCAGGCTGTACAAACTATCAAAATAGTACCAGGGGATATTAAACACAAGCACGAGTTCGTGAACCCCATATTGCTAACAACATAACATTTATTCCCTCCTATTCAAATAAACAAAAGAAGATGCAAATGCTACATTTCAAATTTTGATAACAAAAACCATGTAAGAAATTATTATGACTATTTGGATTCATTTACTGTTTTCTTTCTCTAAGAACAGCTCAAGGAAATTCTGGCTGACCTCGATTACTGACAAGCTCGGCCCACAATCCTCCAGCTCCAGCATGGTTAATCTCCTGCAGATATTTCAAAGAATATTAGCCTCCATGCTCATTATTCAACAGCTAACATAGGTGCTATCAACATTAAAACCTGTTTGACGTCTAAGGACAGATTTCATTCTGAAAATAAATTACCGTAAACCCGGATAACCTAAGACCGTCTATCTCCAATACCCTCATATAATAAACTTTCATGTTTTTCATACATAAAAAATGTAAAAATTATAAACACTTTTACTCATAATAATATAACTTAAACTTTACAGAATTTAACGATGCACATGGACAGTATCTATGAACCAATTAACTCACCTCGAAAAATATGCCAAACAAGGTCTCGGGTATTTTCTTTGCTGACGTTTCGGAGGAATTAACGAAAAGCAGTGCTGTCTGGCTTTCTTCAATTTCAGTTGCAGAAGATTGACAAACAGCATTCAACACGATGAAGAAGAAAAAAAGGATGCTGTATATGGCACTATTGGAACCCATTTCTTCCTATATGCGTCCAACGCTTTTGCAGCCTATTTAAGCACTGTTAAATATACTTTCAGCTATCTTATTATATATATCCAGAGAAGAAAAATGTAAATCAGTTAACAGAAGAAAAGTATTAAAGTGTAAACAGAAAAACTTCCTGTTACAACAACCTCGTCTTACATAAAGATACAAAACCACATAATGAATTCAAGAACTATATCAATAGAACCAACCTAGACAACTGTTACCAGACAGTTTTGCATCAAAACAAGAACAACAATTTATACTTCATTCACAATTCCATTCTTCTCTTTCAGTTCTTTTCTTTATGGGCCATGCCGCGAAATAACTTTTACTCAAACAGTTCTCCAATGGTGAGTTTCATTAAGAGATAGAACAATAAGAAACGTGTATAAAACTATAAATAGAGTGAGGGTTAGAGTGACCAGGTCCAACATCTACGGCAGTACAACATTAATAAAGCAAATATGATTTAGTGGAGCAGTTTAACAAATTCACATTACTTTGTTCTATGATAAGATTTTCACTTGGTTTTGGAAGATATGGCACTAAAAGTTGTAGAGCTGGTCTTTCATATCGAGCCAGGAACAAGGTAAGTACCTATGAAAAGATTCATGATTTCCCTTGGGGTTCTGTCTTCTTAAGTAGCTTTCCAAAGCTAAAAATGAATTACCTACTATTGCACTCAGATTATAGCATCACTCAAAATAAAAAATTCATGGACATAAACACACTATCCGTTCAGATTTTGGTTTGTAGGGAAAAAGTTAATTGCACATTGTGAAGTCAAATTCCATGAAGGCATAAATGACGCAGGCACAACATTTTGAAGTGTATATATATTACCCCAATTTAGGTGAAGCTGTAAATTCAATCATTACAATTAGTTATAGGTGTGATCCACATTTTGACCCACTTATAGCGATAACTGATCAGATGGCTAAATATTGTTGAAAATGAGAAATAAGAAAAAACCCAGAAAAATTAAAAACAGAATATACATTTTACAATTGTTCACGGAGATTCTTTTACTAAATTTTGAAGTCAAACACAGCAAAAAGATAAGATATATGCAACAATACAAATATGCAGTCATATTTATATAAAGATGAAAAGTACAATATAATTTTCAAGTGCTTGTTAAGAAACGGAGATGGGTGTGCAAGATTACAGGAGACCCAGAAAAGGAATTTTAACAGAATACAGAATGATAATTATTCAAGAATCAACTTTTGATCGTCAGAATTTATAATACATATAGAACATATAAAAAAAATGAAGAAGAAGAAGAAATCAATATTTTACCTGTAAGTGATCACTCAATAATTTTCACTGTGAGAGAGAATTTACAGAGAGAAGATGATGATGAAGAGAAAGATGAGGCAGTGGCAGTTATATAGTGAGCTCATAAACCGTTAAGTTTGAAATTTGTACACACAAAAACACTGATTATGTGTTTATTGCTTGAAGCTTGAAGCCCGAATCTTGATTTTGATCTTTATCTTGGCTTCACGCAAGCAAACAAGCTTTTTGGGTTTCTGCAAATGGTGCCTTTGAAGCAGCAGATTGGTTTTGAAATTCTTCAAAGTTTTCTTTATTGACGCCAACGGATGATGCTGATTTTGGATTATCTCTTACTTCTTTTTCTTGCGATTGTATTTTCTATATGATTATTTCTTACGTTGTTCGTCGATATTATATTTGGTCCAACTGGATAAGATTATTATAAAATATAATTGTTGACACTTCTTTTTGCCTTCCGCTCGCCCTATCCTATCGATGCCCTGAACACTATCCGTCTAGCAAAACTCTTTTAAATTATGTTCTATATATCTCCACGAAGGCAAAAAAAATTATTAATAATATAAAATTTTAATATATCATTTTGATCACATCGTTGATATTTGACAGAACAGTTTATTAATGACTTGACATCTCTCTAATGTGATTGCTATGATTTTGTACCAATTATAGAACACTAGTTCAAATACCAAATGGTGGCTAGATATGAATCAAGACTGTTATTTTATTCCCCGTTTGAGTCTCTTTTTATTTTTTCATTCTTTTTTACTATTTTTTCTATAGTACTTATTTTCAATTACACATTCTTCGTCAAAATAATGTTACACGTAAATCAAAAAATTTCTTTATTTTTAATCATATATTTTCCCATCAATTTACTTTCCATAATATATTGTGGCTCCTTTTCTTTTTAAGGCTTCAAGCCGTCTTGATATTGTCAGGTATGTTGTATTGAACCATAATTGACTTCGCATTTTAATTAAGTTCATGTGATTACTAATTCATCTCAAGCCGTTTTGTTTCCTCTTGGTAAGATCTTGTTCTACCCCCCTCCATCATTTCTTTGTTTTTGATAAAATTCTTACTCATATACATAGCTATTTAATAATATTGTTACCCATATGCCTATAATTATTTAAAATGAATCGAATTGTTCCGAGAATAGGCTAATCAGACAGTGTTTCATTCCGAGTGACATCAATTGGTCCATCCACAAAAGAAGAGATCAAGAATCGCTCAGATCGATCAATTCTAACCGGTTAAGAGAAGACAAGACCGGTTCACGTTGGTCCAGAGTAATATCTTATACAATATTTGCATTGGAAGAGATTCGAACCCTTGCTCCTTGCATCAAACATCAAAATCAATGACGTGATCATATATATATATATATATATATATGGAAGAGATTCGAACCCTTGCTCCTTGCATCAAACATCAAAATCAATGACGTGATCATATATATATATATATATATATATGGAAGAGATTCGAACCCTTGCTCCTTGCATCGAACATCAAAACCAATGACATTATCATATATATATATAACATCAAAATTTTACATATTATCCTTTTGTTTTAAAAAATATTTTTTATTAAAATTATGATCTTGCATTGACTAATGGTTGAACCAATGAAATATCGATTGAATCACTGATTTGTCGAAATCGACTATCAAATCGAATTTGATAGCTATGCCCATGTGACAATTTTTAGAAAAAGAAATAAAATTTTAACCCATCCATCTAGCTTATATTTACAACAGAACAAAAACATTGTATAAATCATATGAAACATGTTTCTTTCAAATAAATGTTATCAAAGAAATAATCTAAAAAAGTATAAAACTATGAATCATTCTGAAAATATTTATTAATTAAAGACTTATCTAAATATCAATTTTAGTAAAACGTAATTGTCTCTATTTTCCATCTTATCTAAGTCACATGTAAAAATGCATTTATTGCCATTTAATCTTCAACTCAATCAATTTAAGGTTAAGTATCAAGAGACCTTTGTTTCCAAAAAAAAGAAAAGTACCACAAGCATGTTTGCCAAATTTACAAGTCAAATTAAGGACACAGTTGGACATGCATAAATCATATACCAATTTTTATAGAACAATTATTTTTGAAGACACAGTTGGACATGCATAAATCATATACCAATTTTTATAGAACAATTATTTTTTTAAAAATAAAATAAAATAAAAAATTGCACTTGGTCCATTCAGTTTTCTCACTTGGTTTATTTTGCTTTCTTGTTTGACTATTGATGTCACAGATTCCATTTATTCAAAAACAATAATTCTAATTGTACAGAAATGTTTTGACAAAAGTCTCACATGGGACCCACTCCCATGTGGAATAAAATAGTGCCAAAAATGATCTGTGTGTGGTTTGTAAAGTGTCTATATTTGTACATACAACACCTCTCATTCGAAAATTGGGAATTCTTTCATTTCCAGTACACTGGGACACCGATCTTTTCCAATATATTAAATAAACTAGTAAATTACTATTTTAATTAGAATTTAATACTGTTTTCTTTCAGGACACTCTTCATCGTCCAAGATATTAATAGGAAGTGAAACTAAACTATCTCATACACAATCGAGCTAATTTGCAATGTGATGTATATACTATAAACTACAAATGAATTGACTAATGTGAATTGACGATTGATGCTATTGTTCGTCAAAATTCCATAAACGTACGGGTTCGTTATACAAGTAATAATTGTGATGAAAGAGTTATCATCCCACAAGGAATAATGCTCAATTCTAGTGTATTTGATATATTTAAATTCATGATTGTAATAAAAGATTCTACTTAATCTTTATTTTGACTAGTAGCTTAAGCTCTTGTAAAAGCTATAATATTTTTAGGCTCTAACAGGTCAGGCACGGGATATTTGGAACGATTTAGAACTACTTGAGCTAGAACTTGGTATACCTCTATATTGTGAGATATCAAGGTCGGGCCATACGGCCAAGGACTGCTACGTGCTTGTCTATGGCCTTATGCTAAGTAAATGTATTAGATGCATGTACAAGACACGATCTTACGTTAAATTGATGTTTTAGCTACATGCGCGGGACATAGCATTATGCTAAATTGATGTGTTAGGGCAAGTTTTGTCATAAAATCAAACTCCTATATCACAATGGCACCTAGGCCTGAACTAATGAAAACAAAAATTGTTTGAAGGTATACAAGCTTGGAAAATAAACTACCTATGGGCATGCAAGCTCGAACTATAAACTGCCTAAGAGCATGCAAGCCCAACAGAATGAAAACTAAGTAATCTAAAGAAAAAACCTAGGACTATGGCCAGTTATATGTAATAAATATCTAGGTTGTCGACATTCCAAGGTCTAGGGAGCGACTTTCTCGATGTATCCCTTAGGCTATATGCTTCACTTTTTAATCTTTGCATGACTTCAAAGGCTCTTTCCCATACCTGTCCGAGTTTTTCTTGGAGGATGATCGGCAGCTTTAGTCCTTCTAAGGACCAACTCCCCAATTCTAATTCTTCTAGACTTGACTTTTTCATTGAAGTATCTTACTGTTTTGTTTCAATATCTTATAGCTCTTAGTAAAGCCTATTCTCGTACTTATTTAAGTAGGTCAAGATATTCGATCATTTGTCCTTCGGGATTGGGCTTGATTTTCTTCAATATTGAAAGGCTAACTTCAATTAGAATTGTGGCCTCCGGGCCTAAGGCTAACATGAAAGAGGTTTCACCAATTGCTGTCTTATAGAAAGTCTTGTATGCCCAAAGAACGTAGGGCAACTCTTTGGGCTAATTATCTCTAGTATCTTCAATCCTTGTTCGAAGATCTTGTAGTATAATCCGATTAGTTCTTCAGCAAGGCCATTGCTCTTAGGGTATGAAACTGAGGTCAAGTGATGGTCAATCCTGAGGTTGGCACAAAAATTTCTAAATTTTGAATTATCAAATTGCCTTCCATTATTTGTTATGAACACATTTGGTATCCCAAACCTACACACAATGGACTTCCATATAAATGACCTGAGCTTGGGCTCTGAGATTGTTGCTAGGGATTCGGCTTCTACCCACTTCGTGAAGAATCTATTGCTACTGCAACAATTTTCAATTGTTCTCTTGCCAAAGGAAATGGCGCGAGAATGTCAACTCCACATTGCTCGAAAAGAGCTGAACAATGAATGGAAGTTAGCTATTCGATGGGAACATGTATGATATTGTCGAATTTCTGGCATTTTTCATACCTCCGTACATAATTTGATGCATCTTTTTTCATGCTTTGCCAATAATAATCATATCTTATACGCTTATAGGTAAGAGTTCAAGCTCCTTGATGATTCTCACACACACCTTCGTGAACTTCAGTTAGGGCGATGAGTGATTTAGAAGGTCTAAAACATCTTAGATATGGGAGCGTAAAACGTCTACGAAATAGTATTCTTCCAATAATATAGTACCTTGGTGCTCGGGACCTAATGCTTCTTGCTGCCCTTGGGTCATATGGTAGATTCCCATTACTTATGAATCTGATTATTGGGTCCATCTAGCAAGGTTCATGGTTAATGTCCATGAAGTTGTCTTTTGATTTATTCTAGGTTTTATCACCATCTCGATGTGTATCGTTCTGTCAAGTTCATCTACTCCCATGAAAGATGAGCCTAGATAATGCATCGGCCTTACAATTGTCAGCTCGAACAATTTTTCAAAAATTCACAACTCTTGAATCGTCTTCAAAGGTCATGCAACATTAAACAATATAAGCTTATTTTTTCGTCTTTTCTTTCAAAAGTACCTTTAATCTGTCTACCCATTAGCTGTGAGTCACTAAAAACTTTATTGTGTTCAAGTTCAAGGTTATATGCAAGTTCTATAGATTTTTTGGCCCTACTAGACAAGGAACAGAAACAACATTTGTCCCAAGACTAGAAACAACCCAGGCCATTGCGACTTTAGAATTCCATATACATGACAGTCTAAGACTATTAACATTAAGCGAGAAGCGATCGGTCGCAGAAGAGAAATCATAACTAAACAATTTTTCACATTGAAATTTTGTGTTAGATTTACTAATACCCCACCCCGTCCATCTGGAAATCTTGGTTCAAACTCTTCGCTTCAGGCAATTTTCCGAAGAAAAAACTACTCGAATAAAGGGCAGAATTAAGACAAATACAAATCAAACTAAAGATATTAAGCTAAAAACTTTAATGTGTTCAAGTTCAAGGTTATATGCAAGTTTTATAGCTATAATAACAGCTTCTTACTCTGCGATTATTAGTGGCTTCAAATTCGAACTTGAGTGCACATTGGATTTTTGTAGTTTTGTCCAGCTTAGTAATGATGACCCCAGCTCCCGAGTCTGG